CAGACTGTTGCAGAAATTACACTGCAAAGAACAGATCCTAGACATGATCTTAGCTCAGAGAGCCGTTTCACAAGAGGTGGCTCTCCTGGCCCAAGTGGTCCAGTGGATAACGCTTCAGAGTTTGAGACTATTAGCATTAGGTTCAAGCCTCGGTTGGAACATCATCACTCACTGGGAAATGCAGGTACATCCAGATGACGAGTCCCAAACAGGGCAAAATTCACATCCTGGATTCCACTGCTAGTCGCCATCTACAAATTAAATATGATTGTCTCCTTAGATTTCTATACAATACAATAAAATTGATGAAAAGCATTCAGACAAGTGAATTGCTAATACTGATTCCGTTTCCAAATGGATGAATTTGAAAGCTGCGTGAGTTTCAGGATTTGCATACTGAATAACTAATAGATGTCAACTGTCTATTCTTAAATATTGGTTGATATCTACAGACGGACGGTGCAGTATATTCATCTCCCTGAGTCACGGATACACGTTACATGTAAACATGAGCAATCACAAAAACTAGGCCAGAGGCTTTCTGTTTATCGATTCGAAACATTCAACACCCAGTCAGCAATAAATGTTAATAGTCTGGATAAACTCACGAGCTTATAATGGTTATCACAGATTGTTTTTTTATTGCTTTACATTCCCAGTGGAACATAGGGAGGTTTTAAGCTAGGGGCTTGAAGTTTCGCTAGCAGTGGTATTTATTTTTAAGGGATGAGGTTGCTAGCCTCATGCCCAGCCTTCCCTCTTTTCCCCAGTCTTATTACCCCTTGCTTCTGTGGCCGGGGATCGAACTCCGGACCACCTGCGTGGTCGGTGAGCATTCGACCGCACCCTATTATAGATTAAGTAATAAAATTGTTGGCTCTATTCAAAACTGAAAATAAGTTGGCGAAATGATTTTTCAAAGTGTAGGCTTAATTACTTTTATGCTCATCTTAAAGCTAATTAATCATCAACTCTGTGTATCATAATTCATCTGCCAAATGAAATTATTTTTCAAGGAATCTCATCGGTGATTATTTTTGTTACACTTTCGAAAAGAAAATGCAACTTATTTGACAGTGTCGTTATAGGTACAAAGTTAGTTAGTTCCTTAGTGAGTTAGTTAGTTAGTTCACTGTTGTGTGTGTGTATGTGTGTACACACATCAATGAAGAGTATTCAGTTTCATTTCCCAATTGTGATTTGATAAGTGAATAACTTTTAGGCTTAATGAATAGTGACATTGTTTTCATTATGCAGTATTATTATTTTACATGCATTGAAGCTCTTCCATATTTTGACAGAACTGTTTTCACCGAAAAAAATATTTATATGCCTGAATATAAGTTTATGCATCAAAAGATTGCTGTTGTAAGCATTAGTTCTATCAATACTTAAGAGAATAACATGTGCAGAAAGGTTTCTTGAGTTTTGATTTTGTACTGTACTATGTAGTTTAAACAGTTTTCCAGAGGTGAGCTGTTGACAATAAGTTGTTGTAATGATAGAGGTAACTGAGTTGTCGGTAATTAACAACTCTTGAGAGAGAGAGAGAGAGAGAAAGAAACATAAGTTTTTATTATTATTTTTCCCTTGGGTTCCTAGTGGAACATAGGGCTCCAACTGCACAGCTCCAATTGCCACTTCTGTTTTCTTCTGCTGTACTTTTCACTTGCATCCATGTTAGTTGGTCCACTTTCTCCTGCATATTTGTTGGTTGGCGATTGGTTCTTGTTTTCTTTGTTAGTGCTCGTAGTTTCTTGCTGGTGATTCTTTCCGGCCCTGCCCGGCCCGGCCATCTGATCTTCAGTATAGATCCAGCGAAGACACATGGTTGTTGATGCAGGTCTGCAATAGCCTGTTGGAAATATTCTTTGTGACCCGCTCGCCTAGTTTCTGATCCGTATAGAAGAACTGACTGACTTGACGTTTGTATTGAAAATTCGAAGCAATGTGGTTGTTGATTCTGGTTGAGTGACGAAGATTTCCAGATTGGTTTCAGGTTGATGGATGAATGTGTTTCTCGTCCCCTTCCTGATTCTCGCTCGATTTGACATCCTCGTCCGTTTCGACTACCTGTAGTTGAGACAATGCTCCGTGGATAAGTGAGTGAATGAAGTCATTTATTTAAAATCCCTCGCGTTGATGGTGATTGGCGCTTGATGTTGTTGCTGCTGTTGTTGTTGTTGGTGGTGGTTAGTTGGTTATTTTCACAACCTCCGTCTTGTCCATGTTCACGTGGAGTCCTGTCTTCGCTGGAAGCTTCTTCTATCAGTTTGTCGGTCGGATTTCGCTTGTAAGTCTTTGATTTTGTGTGTGTGACATCAAACATAAATCACGTACGCGCGAAATTCAGGTCTTCTATGTTGTTCACTTCGGTGCAGAATATCCCTGTCTTCTCGTTTCCCACTCACTGTCTGACGCATAATCCAGTCCATCACAATTAGGAATTTAACTGGTGATAATAAGCACCTGAGAAAGAAACGTAAGTTTTACTGTATGAAATTGATTGCTTACCAACCTATTCACATTTTGCTTACTTCATTGTATTTAGACAATAATATGAGTGTGTGGTAGTTACTTAGAGAAGAGTACTCTGAAGTTGATAAAAGCAAGAACAAGGACAGTGGTTTGTGCACAGTAATATAACACTACTATTGCTTATTTCCCTGACTTCCCATCAACTCAACTGCTTGCAGTCTAAATAAATAATTATTATTAGGTCCAGTTCCCGTTAACGAATAGCCAATGATTCAGCTATGCACAGATGACGTATGGGAAGTCCTTTTGTACTACTGCCTCTTTCCTGATTTTCATATAGTCACTCCTTCTAGGTTACAGTTTACACTACGTAATACGGTTTTCGAGGACAAATTTTACGCGTATCTGAATGGTCGTCTTATGCTATCTTTGTTAAATATAATTACGATTGTACAGCAGCTTATGACAATGAATCGTTAACGTCTTGTTCTTATGAAACCTAAAACCCGAAGCTCCACTCCCTACTCAAAACACGAGGAAGGATGAAAAGACTTGTAGCAAAACCACACGACTGAACACATGTAGACTGGAATTCACCAAACATAAAATTTCTGAGTACGTAAACTGACGATTAGTTATATCTGCTGAAGACACCCACTTATTATTATTTTATCCTTTAATTCCTAGAGGAACATAGGGCTTCAGCTGCGAACCTCCATTGGCTTCTGTTTTCTGCCAACTTTTTCACCCCGCTCCAAGTCTGTCCACATGATTTTATCTCCTCTTCTCATGACCTCCTCCAAGTCACCCTTGGACGACCAACTCGCCGCCTCCCTTTCAGGTCCCACTCGAGCGATGGCTTGTCTAGTGATGTCACTCACTTGATGGTTTCCTCAGAGTATCGCCAGCCAATCCATCTCCATTTCTTCCTGCCTATTTATTTCACAATCGGTTCCTGCTGTGTTGGTTCGCTCATTGCCAGAGATCTCACCCTGTTGCTGATCTTTCCTGGCCGGCCATCTGATCTTGAGTATTGAGCGAAGACGACCGTTGATGAAGGTCTGGAGTTTGTTTGAGGTGCTCTTTATGACCCACCAACTCTCTGATCCGTATAAAAGCACTGATTTTACATTGGAGTTAAAAATCCGGACCTTATTTTTCATTCTGAGTGCTGTTGACTTCCGCACAGACTTAAGAGTAATGAAAGCCTGTCTTGCTTTTCCGATTCTGGCTTTGATATCCACTTCATTTCCGCCTGTAGTTGAAAGGAAACTCCCCAGGTAGGTAAAGGAGGTTGTTTGTTTTAGGTTCCTCTCATTTATGTAGCCTGATTGCTGTCTGTTGTTCATGTTGCTGCTGGTGGTGTTGGCCAGGAATCTTCATCACCTCTGTTTTATCTATGTTCACTTGAAGTCCTATCCTCTCTGGATGCTTCTTCTGCCAACTTGTTGCTTTTCACTTGCATATCTTCCAGTTTATGGGAAATCAGACATATATCATCGGCGAAGTCCAGATCCTCCAAGTCTTTTGTGTGAGTCCATTTTATGCCTGTTTCCTCATTGCCCGTTGTCTGTTGCATTATCCAATCTACTGCAATCAGGAAGATCATTGGCGATAGTAGGCAGCCTTGTCTCACTCCCGTCATCCAATTACTTTTCTGTACATAAAAGTAGTAATAATTTATTTAAGCTGCAAGCAGCTGACATGATGAGAAGCCAACGAAACAAACAGTGATGGTATAACATTATTCTTCAAAATCTGTTCTCGCTTTATTCAAATTCATCAAGCGGAATAAATGTATGAATTACTCTAAAGGTTTCACACATTTATCAGTATCTACTCTTTAGAAAATTATAAAGCTGTAAGAGCTGTAATCATCATACCCTTGTTCTAATAAACAAACTGGAACCACTATCTCCCAGTTGTTTTCAATAACATTCGTGATTAAAAAAAATTTATTTTTAGTTGTGTCATTCTATTTTACCAGTCTTTTTGGCACATTGGTTAGCTTTAATCCGCTATTAATAGTTATAATCTAACGACAGAAGATAACAGACTTAACAAGGGAACTTTATTGAGGAAAACCATGTCAGATTAATGCATTCCTAGCTACATTAAAGTTCCACTAGTTTATAGTGGCGAAAAAAATTATTCTGACTGTTTGCCGATTGGCCAGTGGTTAAACAAGTTATCCACCAATGAGGTTATCTCATGTCCACAACGTAAACTAAATCCCTATTCGATAAATAAACACCTCTACCTTTGCAGCTGTTGACTTAAAATGTTAATTTTGGTTTCAGTGACATCCTGTCAATCCCAGTAGTTTCGTACTTTTCATATCATGAGTTTCTTCAGAACCGTTAATAAACCAACCTCTGTTTCATTAGCTGCAAACTTTAAAGCATTCGTCGAAGTTGTTTTTAGTTAAGGGAATTAAGATTTTTGTCTATTCATTTTAAAAAAAAAGAAAGTGTACATTATTTTTCTTCTTTCAAAATTTCTCAAAAAACGTTCAAACTTACTCGCCAATCATTGACACCAATTAACTCAAAGTAGTCTTCTTTGGCTATCATAAAGGCAGCTAAGTTTGCTGTATATGAGGCTAGAAATACAAGTGCAAATAAAGCCCAAATATTTGCCATAAATCGACTAGCCATCCCTCTAGGATTCTCAGCATTCACTGCAGCTCCAAATAACATTGACCAGATTAGCCAAAGTGAACTGAAGAAGGAGAAACGATGGTCTATAAAACAGAAACATGAGGAGGAAAAAATATACTTCACTTGTTTAAACAGTGGCTTTTCAATAGCACTACTTAAATATTATTATTAGGACTTATTAGTATTGTTATTTATTTTTTCCCTTAGTTCCTAGAGGAACACACGGCTTTAGCAGCACGTCTCCATTGCCTTCGGTTCTTCGCCAACGTTTTCACATCGCTCCACGTCTCCCCACATGCTTTCATCTCCTATTCACATCACTTCCTCATCCTCTATGTAAAACTTGAACTGAGGAACAACTAACTCGCTTATTTTTGATTGCACACTAGTCACTAACTAGTGTAATGTGTCTAGTGCTATCTTCGGTGCAGAGTGCCAACTAGCACGAAACCTAGGTCCAAGGCTTCCTGCCGATTTCCTCCAACCATCTAATACCAACATCTCACAGTGCACCGTAATGGAGATCCACTAAGCATGGTGGCCACATTGCAAGCTTGACTGATAGAATTCAGTCTGCAGTGAAGATAGGACTAGACACAGTACACTAGTTACTGACTAGTGTGCAATCAAAAATATCCAATACGGTCCTACAGGAGGTCAGTCGCAAGCCCGAATAGCTCAGTAGTAACGTCTCTGACTGCAGCACTGGATGACGCTGGCTCGAATCTCAGAAGGGACATGAGTTCCTTCAACGTTGCTGATACGCTTTGCTGACAGGTGAGTGCCAACCAGCACGAAACCTAGGTCCAAGGCTTCCTCTGTCCGATCGCCTCCAACCATCTAAAACTAACTCGCTTCTTCCTACTCGTTTTCTACTCCAGCGATAGTCTGAATTCCGGATGATATCACTCACTTGATAGTTTGTTTTCTCAGAGTGTATGGCCAATCCACCTCCATCCCTTCTCGCATATTTGTTGCACAGTCGGTTCCTGCTAGGTTCGTTGGTTCGCTTATTGTCAGAGATACCTCACACTACTGCTGATCTTTTCTGGCTGGCTATCTGATCTCGAGTGGTGTTCAGCGAAGACAGCTGTTGATGAAGGTGTGTAGTTTGTTCGAAGTGCTCTTCGTGATGCGGCGCAGTGGCCAAGTCTCTGATCCATATGTATAGTAAGTAGTAATGACTTCACATTGGAGTTGAAAATCCGGATGTTATTTTCATTTTGATTCTGAGTTGTGGTGTTGATCTCTTCCACGCAGACTTGAGGAGAGAAATAGAAGGTTGGCTTGCTTTCCCGATATTGTTCGCTTTAATATCCTCGTGAGTTCCGTTTGTCTGTCGTTGGGAGGATGTTTCCTATGTAGTTTGATAGGTAGGTAGGTAGGTAGGTGGGTAGATGGGTAAAGAAGGTTGCTTTTTTCGTAGTTCTCCCATTTATGCAGGCTGATTGCTGTAGTGGCTGTTGGTGTTGCTGTTGGCGAGGAATCTTTATCACCTCTGTTTTCTCTATGTTCACCCGAAGTCTTTGATGTTTCTTCTGCCAACTTGTTGCTTTTCACTTTCATATCTCCAAGTTTAAGGGAAATTCGACGTATATCATCGGGGATATCGAGATCCTCCAAGTTTTTTGTGTCGATCCATTATATGCTCTTCTCCTCATTGCCCGCAGTCTATCGCTGCTTGTTAAATCCATTGGGAGTGTTTGAGATTGCAGTATACAATGACAGTCTCAGTAGTATGAAGTGAAAACAGAACGTGCTGTTACTCCATGTAGCACTAAGTCACGGAATCGCCCTGCTTCATTACTTCCAGTCGACATATATCTCATGTTGGATTGTTAAAGTTTGCCATTTGTATTTTCTTTTGTTGTTTATGACGCAACTGACACATACTTATGATATAAATGGCGAATAAACAAAAGGATTGACATCGTCTTACTGAAGAGTCTCATCCTACATCCTACTAACCAAATTTCAGAAATAAGTTGATCATCACGATTTTCAAAGTGCAATACATCTTAGTCTTAGTGGTGAATCTTTATTGTCTGTAAAAACTTATGCTTGTTTTGATTTGCTCCTGAATTACAAATAGCAGAGTGGCTCACCCTAATTTCATACATTTTTGACTTGTGGTCATTATCTATATAGGTCAGGTGAAAGATGAATGACACAAGACTTGTTATTATTATTATTATTGTTTTCTTGGGTTCCTAGAGGAACATAGGGCTTCAACTGCAAGTCTCCACTTGCTCCTGTCTTCTTCTATACTTTTCACCTGCGTCCATGTTAGTCTATACTGTTTCAACTCTTCTCCATGTCACCTTCAGACGTCCCACTCGCCGCTTCCCTTTAGGGTTCTACTCGAGGGCCTAACACAAAACTTGTTAAGATCAGATTTATTTAGTACCACTCTTCTGGAAGTATAAAGAACCACATAGAGTGTGCAGGGTTCAGTGACGTGTAGTCAATATGACAGAGATCTCATAGACCATGTAGTCAATATTTCGAATTCCATCTAATGAGTTTTGAGATGAAAAGTGTTACGGTTTCATGTTTTTCTTGTTGATGAATTTTAAAAAATTCAACTTCGTACTTTTTACTTCTCTTCCCTATTTTATTAACTTTGTTAAGCAATTTTCTACTTAATTCTTATGTTTATTACTTACGCAGCAACCAACCATTATGTACTTTTGCGTCAGTAGTTTTCGGAACACCGATATGTGTTTCCTTTCATTGTTCTATGATAATAGATTTCAAGTAACGTTATCATAAATATTTGTCATTTTGTTTGTAAGCTCTACGATACTTTTCTAACACAGTATGTCAGGAATCCAAAACAAATGATACCGTAATGTAAGTATGTTGCTTGTATTAATGAAGAATAAATTTCAAACTTGAGTTTACACCGCGGTTCTAAAAGAAACTGGTTAGCTTCCGGTTTGATCACGGATTGATATCGGTTGGGGAATTGTTGAAAACCATCAGAAGGTACTGGACCGCCGTTTCGTCCTAGTCCAACTGGCCGGCGGTGAGGACAAATACTCGCCATCTATGACACTGGCTGGTTCCAGTCGCGCTAAAATCACGAACTGGTAGAAGTTAGAATTCATGGACTGGTTGGTGAGTTTCTTTTGATTTCAGCTTGATTCCACACCGTATTTTTTCGTAAAGGTATGGAATTTTCAGCATGGATATCGGTAGCCCATATTTTGCAGGTCGACCATAGATATCAGGTGTGCATCGGCAAGGGATAGAATCTTGGACCATGTGCATGGTTGGTGAGAGTCCTAACCACTGTGCCACCGACTCACAAAATAAAGGGAGGACCGTGAGGCCTCCACACTGACAAAAACTACACGCCCAAGCGCACCCGATTAGGATCCGTCGCGAGTTTCAACCCATTGAGATGCAGTGGTGAGCCTCCTTCCGGGGTCAGAGCATTCTTGATCACCCTGAACCCCGCGCTCGTTGGGTCACAATCGCTGAATAGCATACGAGCTAGACTTGTAACCGGAAGGTAGTAGGTTCAGACCCATTTAGGTGAGTGCTGCTTATGAGTTCTGGACGAGGATGAAATAGCTGTCCACTGGTTTCCAATGGTTCTCTAACTGATATCATTCAGTGATAAAACTTGAAATATATCAGATCCCTGGAAAGCAACTCTTGAAAATTGGTTTAAGTATGACAATCTGTCTTTCAGTACCTAACGACAGATGCTTATTCTCAGCAGTCATTCATCATCGTTAAAATGTTATTGAAGACTTACTTTGATCCGGTGATCGTCCACGATTCATTCCATTTGGACTAAACCATTCATAAATGTAAAGTGCCGCACCTGTTGCATGTACACTGAATACTAAAATGACGCACCAACACTGATAGTCGTATGGTTCTGTTGGACAAGAGTTAAAGAAAATACGGATTTTTCATAAAACAATTCAATAATAATATATATGATCCCATATTGGGCTGTTTACCCTCTCTCTCTCTCTCAGCTTTGAAATTAGTGGTTCAGTGTTTCTAAAGTCAATATTGAAACAATCTGAAAAAAAACATTTAATGGGATTCAGAAATTATGCTTGATTAAGAAAAATAATGGAATAGACGAAATAGGTTTAAAAGTAATTGTTTTAAGAAGTTAACTTTATTATTATTATTCCCTTGGGTTCCGAGTGGAACGTAGGTCTCCAACTACACATCTCCACTTTGATCCGTTTTCTGTCGTCCTCTTAAGGTGGGTCCACCATTGACCAAACTCTCTCATCTCTTACTCACACGATCTCCACTATGTCATCCGCGCACCGACGACCTACTCGTCGCTTCTCATGAGGATTCTACTTGAGTGACGGCCTCACTGGCACGCGATGTCACTCGATGGTTTCCTCAATGTATGCCCGATCCATCAGTCTCCACGTTCTCCTACATGTTTGTTGAGATATCGGCTCTTGCCTGTCGGTTCATTGCAAGCCACCCAGGCGGCCAGCCAGACAGACAGACAGAGTTTCTTGTTACTAATTCTTTCTGGCCAGTCATTTGATCTTCAATATGGAGTCAGCTGGTGATGGCAGCTGTTGATAAAGTCTGAAGCAGCCTGTTAGGATTCCTTTTCTTGACACGCCGGTCGAGTTTCCCACCCATATAGAAGCACTGACCAACTTGACATTGGTGTTGAAAGTGAGAATCTTATTCCTTCTACCGTGGATGCAAGAGATTTCCGAACTGGTCTCAGGTTGATGAAGGCGTGTGTACCTTGCTTTTCTGATTCTGGTTGGCTGTCTGGCCTTGACATCCTCATCGTTCCAAATTCTTGTAGTTGAAACGACGCTTCCTAGCCGGATAAGTGAAGGAGGTAACCTCTGTTGAATCTCTCCCGTTGGTTGATGGTGATTGGTGCTGGTTGTTGTTGTTGTTGTTGCTGCTGTTGCAGTTCGTTGGTTATCTTCCTGTATATTCTCCTGTCTTTGCCGACTGCTTCTACAGTCAGTTTGTTGCTTTCGCTTTAACGAAGCTTAAAATATTTAGAATCATTTCAGTCAAAAACAGCTACTGGTGCAGCTGCTTTCGTTAAATTCATGATTTTCTTTACATAAGGATGATTAGATAATTAGTGATTCGTCATAAAGAGGAGTCTTTTTTGAAAGTTGAATACGCTTGGATTGGTTATGACTCACTGCGAAAAATTCAGTAGGAAGTGATTAGAAATAAAGAAGAGAATACGATATTACATTATACCACGAACAAGACAAGACTAAGGTGTTAAAGCATGTTTCTGCTACTGCCAATGAATCATAGGGGCATCAGTCAATCCTAAACTTTCTCGTTTCAACACTGATTAGAGAGCCTATATTTCCTAGTACAACTTTCAGGGATACCGTCGTCAATCGATGGTACAAGTACTTTGGAACCTTTTAAATAACAATTAACAAGCATTTTCGTCAGTCTGGCTCCAAAGACCACTAACAGTGAGTAAGTCGGACGGTTATGCCATTTTAATGGCTGCTATCAGGATTCAAATCTTTCATTGAAAATGTAGACTGTTTTGACTAGCGTAGTAATAACCATTTAGAAAATTGTAATAATTTCTTATTTGGATGATATTTTTGTAACAGATACAAAGTTTCAGGATTTCATCATGAGCTGACATTGGTTAGGGAACCATTGGAAATACCTGCAAGGAGTACTGGACAGCTGTTTCTGTTGTCCTAGTATGGGACTCTTCTTCAGTATGCACGCTCTGCCAAGGTTCGAACCCAGGACCTTCTGGTTACAAGGCGAGCCAGCTCGTAGACCATTAAGCCACTGGGACCCGATCCAATGACCAGTCCATGAATTCTAACTTCTGCTAATTCACAATATAGAGCAACTGCTAGGCAATGTCTTCGGTGAGTATTTGTCCCCACAGCCAACCTGCTGCACCCTGCTGGTCACGACTTCTCACTAGAATCCCAAGCAACTATCCACCTGAATAGGGCAAGTCGCTAGTGAGCATCTCATAGAAATTCAAGTGTTGGTTTGTAGGGATTCGATTGGTTACAGCTGACGAAACTGTTGTCCAGTACCGCGAACTGGATTCTGAATGGTTCTCTAACCAATGTTAGCTGATGATGAAATCTTGAAACCAACCAATCAAATCCCTACAAACCAACACTTGAAGATACAAGGTTTATCTAAAATACTGAGTCATTTTCGTTTTTCGGCTCATGAGGATCACTATAGTGGTTTTTACAGACGTATTTTTATTCGTCAAATTGTCAGATAAGTGTTGGTTTGCATGGATTTGACTGGTTACAGGAACTTAGTTTGAGTACAAATACTCGCCACCGATGATATTGGATAGTGATCGCACTAAGTCGTGAATTGACAGAAATTAGAATTCATGGACTGACCACTGGATTGGGTCCCAGTGGCTGAATGGTCTACGAGCTCATCTTGTATCCGGTCGATCCTGGGGTCGAACCCACGTGGTGGGTGTGTACTGATGAAGAGTCCAGAACTAGGCTGACAGAACAGCTGTCCAGTACTTCCTGCAGGTTTCCAACAGTTCTCTAACAGATATCAGCTAGTGATGATGAAGTCCTGTTAGATAACAGTTATACTATGAAAAGAGCATTCACTAATTTTGTTGTTGTATAAGGGAATTGACTTCAAGCTTTATTTATTTTCCCAAATATCTGTAATCCATCCAACGCAGATTTAGGTTTTTTTGTTAATGCGAAGTCAATATCTCTATATTTCATGATGTCGTCCGTTGAATCACTAGTTATCAGATTTTTCCCACAAACTAAAGACAAAATGACAGCAACCGTAAATCATGTATTATATATGTCCAAACCAAGTTCACTTTTGATAAGTATAAAACTTGGGCACTGTGGTAGAGTATAATTCCATTATAGATAAGATTTTTATTTTGATAAATCGCACAGTGTTTACAGTTATATGAACTGATGACGTTTCGAGCACAATTTATTGCTCATAATCATATCAAGGTGATATGATTGATATGAGCAATAAATTGTGCTCGAAACGTCATCAGTTCATATAACTGTAAACACTGTGCGATTTATCAAAATAAAAATCTTATCTATAATGGAAGTTCACTTTTAACGGTTTGAAGAAATTTGGGCATTGAGTATATGATATTCATTACAATAAAAGGTTTTTTGTATTTCCCAATGAATGAAAAACAAAACGATATTGTTTTTACTGACGTTTCGCTATTTAATGCTAACAGATTTCTCAAAGTACTATTAAACCGGAATTTACAAAATTTCAGCATATAATCGTAAATCATGTACTTTAAATATGTAATTTAAATAATACTTATCCCCATGCCTATACAACTGGTGTGTCCTACATAGGTAGGAATAAATATCTACCTTATTATATTATCATTACTAACTATGCTTACTAATCGTATGTGCAATTTAACGAATTGATGATGCCTGTAAACTGGCGTCCCTTATGTACAAAAATGAGAATATATTATTATCGTCCTTTGGTCATGTGACTTGTCACTTGGCAAATTTCATTGGTGTCACAATCATCTACACTTTAACATCATGTATATTTTATACTCTTAGTTCACATGGTCAGAATATTGACGAATTTTTTAAAGTTGCCTTTTACACCTGAATCCTGAAATGTCGCTATGCGCTTTAAGTAACTGTCATAAGTGTATCTGATATATTATTATAAACAAAGCAGTAAATCACAGTTTAGACACTAAACAGGTGATTTTGGCAAATTAGTTGGCTAATTTCTGTTCTTCGATGAATTCAAGTATGGCGGAATTTCATACAAGAATTCCGCTTTATAAATTTGAGTAGAGAAAGAACAAACAGTGTTCAAAGAATAACATGATCCATTTTATTTCGTTGGTTCTCATCACTGCGTACAACCAATATTCTTCAAAACAAAGTCAGTGTACAGTTTTAACATACTTCTGTCTATCAACAAGCACATTGTAAGAGCATCATTATTATACTATATTATTGTTCCTTTAATTCCTAGAGGAATAGGGCTTCAGCCACACGTTTCCATTCCGTCTGGTTCTCCATCAACGTCTTCACCTGGCTCCAGGTCTCTCCACATGCTTCCATCTCTTCTTCGCATCACCTCCTCATCCTCAGTGTCACCGTTGAACTAATGACCAACTAACTCAACACTTCCCATTCGGTTTCCCCTCGAGTGATGGCCTGCATTCCGGGTGATATCACTCACTTGATAGTTTGTTTTCTCAGAGTGTATGGCCAATCCACCTCCATCTCTTCTCGCATATTTGTTGCACAGTCGTTTCCTTCTGGGTTGGTTGGTTCGCTCATTGCCAGAGATTCCTCACACTACCGCTGATCTTTTCTGGCCGGCCATCTGATCTTGACTGGTGTTGAGCGAAGACAGCTGTTGATGAAGGTGTGTAGTTTGTTCGAAGTGCTCTTCGTGACGCAGCGCGGTGGCCAAGTCTCTGATCCGTATGTATAGTAAGTAGCACTAACTTCAAATTGGAGTTGAAAATCCGGATGTAATTTTCATTTTGATTCTGAGTTGTGGTGTTGATCTCTTCCACACAAACTTGAGGAGAGAAATAGAAGGTTGGCTTGCTTTCCCGATATTGTTCGCTTTGATATCCTCGTGAGTTCCGTTTGTCTGTCGTTGGGAGGATGTTTCCTATATAGTTTGATAGGTAGGTAGGTAGGTGGGTAGATGGGTAAAGGAGGTTGCTTCATTCTTACTTCTCCCTTTTGTGCTGGTCTATTTCTGTCTGTTGTAGAGCATCATAATAAAATATAACATAGGGATGATAAGGTGAACAAAGTAAAGAAGGAAGTTTCTCGAAAACTAACTGAGAGATTTGTTGTCAGGATGGTGACAAAAATTAGTATTAACTATGTAGTTCGATAAGAGAAGATCAAAATTTGATATCCAAGAAGTCAGTTGAAATTGTGATAACTTGATTTTTTTGAGTGGAACTCAGAAAGTCAAAAAACGTTTTCTAATGGAAGTTAAACGGAACTCAAGGGGAGTGAAAAGATAGGTTAATGAAATTAGAAGACAAAGAGTTACCAAGGGATGAATCACCAGAGTAACTGAAGTTAAACGACGGATTCAATTTGGACACATAGTTGAGGTTAATTTGTTTTATTATCCATGTTTTCCTGGTAAGTATTCGTCTATACTCTTGCTGGAAACCATAATAATTCAACCGAGGGCTTTTTTGGAAGACTGCAAACAAGATGAGAGAGATAGACGATTCACAAAAACAGTTTATCTGTAGTCATCTCGGTGAGTATACATGCACAGAAACTAGTCTAACTTCGCGGATGATACTCCTCGTTATAACTAGGACGGATTTTTAAGCCATGTCAGAGAAAGATAACCTATGTTAGTGCGTTTTCAAGCATTTTCTTGTCAATATACACATCATTTTTTGAGCAAACATTCCTCATTTTTATGATTGGTCAGCTGAAGGTAACAAATGCGTTCGCACTCCTGAGACGCTATTGTTGAACTCTGCCTAATAAAGTATTATGAAAAATGAAATATCTGTAAAAAATAAATAAACTGGCATAAACTGATTAACTGAACAGTTCAAGAAAACTGTCAGTGATTCATCTAGATAATATATTTTTACAAAGCTTGGGATATAAGATAATCTTTTACTGTAATAATTTTGGCACATCTACGTAGAAGTACTTTTTTCATATTCGTAATGTAATATATTTGTCTGCCTGTTTGTCTGACATCTAGTTGCTGCAAACTAATCCACCTTCTTACACTCAGTCACTCTTTTTACTTGATAATATCATTTTTAGTAGTAAAATGTAATGTTTAGAAAGAGAGATAGAGAGAGAAAGACAGGAAAAAAGTTATTATAACAACTTACTTAGAAAAGCTGTTGGTGCTATAGCGCCTTCACGTAAAGCTACTGAAACTGCTATACCGGTTTCTAGAAAGGGTACACTGAATTCAATTTGTTGTGATCGATTCGGTGTAATTTTCAATGAAGTCACTGCCATATCAGCTCTGTTATCGATTAAATCACGTATTATACCATTCCATCCATCTGGCTTTTAAGGGAAATCATTATCAGAAGAAAAAAGGTTAATCAGACTACAGTTATGTGGTTATTTGTGTGTGTGTGTTTAGAGAGAGAGAGATGAGAAAATTTGAAAAAGAAACAAGCAAATTTGGTCAAATTTGGTAATTCGTAGGAGCTGACTGATGTTTATAAATATAATAATAGTAAAAGTAATATTAATAATAGCAATAATAGTAATAATAGTATTGAGATTTAGCAAATGTCAGTGCTATGTGCGTTAATGTAACCAACCTTCTTTTTCTTATAGATGACGGTATCGGAAATAAATATTAGTGACATAAGTATAAAACTTGGGCACTGTTGTGGTAGAAAATAACTCCATTATGCATAAGACTTTATTTTGATAAATCACACACTGTGTTATACAGTAATATTAACTGATGCGACCACGTTTCGAGAACAAACTATTACCCCTCATAATCATATCAAGTTACTCACACAACTTTCTCCTTCATTTATATACATGAGTAAAATTGATGATTAGACATTTCAATAAAAATCAATTTAGGATAATGTACATTTAGAAATAATAATACGAGTGTTATTTATCAATTACAATCAGGTGGGAAATAAGACGAGTGTTATTTTTATAGTCATAATAAGGAACCTGTTAGATTGTTGTGATGTGCTTGAATTGAAATAGAATTCTGAGATTATTTATTACCCTCCTCTGATTTCACTGACTGACTGGTGGTAATAATATCTTCCATAACTCTGGTATTTACATTGAGTCATTTCTGTTGCATATGTTGTGTTGGGTGTAGACTTGATGAACCTAAATTCAGTAATCGGTCTCTCTCTCCCCAACTACATAGATTACTTTTTAGAATCTTAACCCTCTCCCACCCTATTGTGTGTTAATCCATGCAGTGCAATTGCTGAGCTTCTTTCTATATTACTTATCTTCTCAGGATCAACCATTCTTCCCTTATCTAAATTCTTATGTTCCAACATTCTGATTACCCCGATCTACTAGTTTGACATATATAGTTGACCTGAGTTACAGTCATTGCAGGGTATTTTGTGAATTATATTATTTTGTCTAATTGGGTCAACAAACAGTTTCCTTTAACCTACAGAGCTTGTCCCTGAGTGCGTTTGTAGGTTTGAATACCACTCTAATTCCTGTTTTGCTGAGAATCCTACGTAGGGTCTCAGATGTCCCGTCCCTCCTCATATGGTATAACAGTAGATGACTTATATTCTCTCTCATTTATGTTATCATTATTACTTTCACCATTAATTTTAGTTTGACCTTTTTGATATTCCTAATGAATTTTTAGGGATAAATCCTTTTCTCTCTGTTTCATTTCATCATTTAGGCCTTTTTTGTGCTACTTAGTGCTATTGCTTGGTCTGTTAAGCACTTAACTAAGGCAGCTTTTTTTACAGTTAACCCATGAAATGAATTAAAGTCTAAGTATCCATTAGCAAAATGCGTGTGTGTAGTTAACCTTCTATTCGTTTTATTTTACAATCTAACACCGTAGCTAATTCTGCTTGTTCATTCTCCGATTCAAATATGAATTTTATTCCCTTTTCTATTGAGTTCTGTTTTTAACACTGTGAAAGTGTCATCCACATATCTCCACTATAAAAGACAAAATAATTGAGCAAAGAATATCCTTCTCGATAATATCCTCTTCTCGCTTTACAATTATATATATATATATGTTTATATACATAGAATATTCTAGATTAGTAGTCAATAAAAATATTAGTGTTTTCTAGATAATATCGATTTGTAAAGTAAGATCTTAATGGAATTACAGTTCTTTAAAGGTGCTTAAGTAATCATTATAATAATGATATAGTAGCAAATAGAATATCAACTAAAATTAAGAATATATTTTCCCAGCTATCCATGAATATATCCGCTAAGATAGGGGATATTGGTGATCCCATTGCTACACTTTCTGTAAATATTAGTAATAAATTAATATTAGTATTTGAAGAAATGAAATAGTCAAGTTGATGTATATACTTGGCTTGGTTTTCCATACAACTAGGTTGGCTTTATTAGTTTGATGAACAAAGAGTTTACTGAACATATCTGCAGGATAATATGAGCTCGTTCTACTTTGTGGATCCTTTTCAACTGCCTACATCCTAAACAATATCAAAATATATGTCACGATATTATTTGGACATACTTCAACCATGGTGATGTCGAGTAATGCCTAGATTGAAAGTATGAGCAACATAATTTCAAAGATGATGTAAGTAGACAAATTACTCAGTGTAGTAAAACTAGCTACTTATAGTAGTTAGTAGCTAATCAATACACAAAGAGAAGCATGGTTACTTCGGTTCACAGAAGCTATTGCCATCAAAAGACTTTGACCCGATCTGTACATATAGAAAGAGAGTGTGACTAATCTCTCACTACCCTACCTGGTCACCATAATTTTTTTGTCTCTATTGTTCTCTTGTGTTCTCTTCTGTTACATAACATTCCAGTCAATCGTGATTTTGATTTAATGCTAATAGCTTTCTCAAAGTATTATTAAATAATTTAATTTAGTAGTAGGTTTGGAGTCTTAACAGTGAGTTCAACTCAGTGAGTCAAAATCAAAATCAAGATTGACTGGAATGTTATGTAACAGAAGAGAACACAAGAGAACAATAGAGACAAAAAAATTATGGTGACCAGGTAGGGTAGTGAGAGATTAGTCACACTCTCTTTCTATATGTACAGATCGGGTCAAAGTCTTTTGATGGCAATAGCTTCTGTGAACCGAAGTAACCATGCTTCTCTTTGTGTATTGATTAGCTACTAACTACTATAAGTAGCTAGTTTTACTACACTGAGTAATTTGTCTACTTACATCATCTTTGAAATTATGTTGCTCATACTTTCAATCTAGGCATTACTCGACATCACCATGGTTGAAGTATGTCCAAATAATATCGTGACATATATTTTGATATTGTTTAGGATGTAGGCATTTGAATAGAATCCATGAAATAAAACTAGGTCGGAGTATCCTGCAAATTTGTCTTTATTTCCTAATTCAGTTTAATTTCGTTCCTTTTCTATGCATCAGATTCTAACCGACGCTTCATTCAGTACAAAGTAAACAAATGTACCGTTATGAGTGTGATTTCATTGAAAAAATAATTTTCTTTACTGTGACTTTTAACTTCCCTTTCTCTGCAGAAGTCAAACCTGCCTCTAGTTTTTTGTCGAAGAAATTTCATTTTGATTTTTTGATTATAGATTGATTGCACACCATATTTTTGGTACAAGTATGAAACTTTCAGCATGTGATATCGGTAGTCCAAATTTCACAGGCCGACCAATTTGTATCAAGTGTGCGTCGGCCAGGGATCGAGCCCGACACACACTTGGTACGACGATAGTAAATTAACAGGGACATTCTACTGGATTACCACGGCAACCACGTGGAAATCTTAGTGTTTGAAGAAAAGATGAGAGCTATATTTCTGAGCCGTAATTCTGTGGAGGTTGTCAGTGCTACCAATAGTGCCGATAATAATGAAAAAACAGTTCAATAATCAGTCGTATAGACAAGCTGTTGAATAACAATCATTTCAGGTCGGTCATGAGGACAAATGCTCACCAAAGACATTGACTTGTGGTCGCGCTATGTCATGAATTGGCAGAAGTTAGAATTCATGGACTGGTCATTGGATCGGGTCCCAATGGCTTAATGGTCTACGAGCTAGCTAATCTTGTAATCAGAAGGTCCTTGGTTCGAACCTTGGCAGTGGATGCGTGCTGATGAAGAGCTGGTCCCAAACTAGGACAACGGAAACAGCTGTCCAGAACTCCCAGGTGGTTTTCTAATGGTTCTCTAACCGATGTCATCTATTGATAACATCCTGTAACCAGTTTTACAAGTTAAAATAACCAAGGGCTTGTCAAATTCATAAATTCACTTTTTGAATGAAGTTGCCCTACAACTATCGGCTGGCCTGCCTTGTCCACTATGAACTTACCCAAGGTACATAAACAAGACGTCCCACTCCGCCCAATACTAGATATGATAGATTCCCCATATCATACAATCGCGAAATGGCTGGTGGAGATTCTCGGGCCGGTGAAAGAGAAGCTGTCAAGACATAACCTCTGCGACACATTCGACTTTGTTGATTCAATTAAGAATGTCAATGTGGCAGAAAAGAAAATGGTCTCCCTGGATGTCGTGTCTCTCTTCACCAACGTTCCACTGACAGAAACCGTATGTTTCCTTTGTGACTACATTGAATCCAATAACATCAATGTCGATATACCAATTCATTACCTGAAAGAACTGTTACTTCGATGCACCTTCAACGTATACTTTAGTTTCAACAAAGAAATATACAGGCAAGTAGATGGAGTAGCAATGGGTTCTCCCTTAGGACCCCTTCTAGCCGACTGCTTTATGGCTAGCTTAGAGAACAACGCCTTATCAACAACTATCAACGACCTCCATCTCTACAAGAGATACATCGATGACACTTTCATTATTTGTGATGAGAACTGTGATTTAAAAAACCTACTTCAAATTTTCAATAATGCCCACCCAAACATCGACTTCACACTTGAGACTGAATCCGACGGAATGTTCCACTTCCTCGACGTCCATCTGACAAGAAACGCCGACAACTCCCTGAAAAGGTCCATATACAAAAAGCCTACATGGAATGGACAATTCATCAACTTTCAAAGCTTCGTGCCCCTGAGCAGAAAGAGGAACCTGATATACGCTCTTTCCTCGAGGATTCGGAAGATATGCAGCGAGGAAGTGGTTGAAGAAGAACTGCGTAATCTTCGAAAAACCCTGATGGAAAACGGTTTCCCGCCCAGGTTCATAGAAAAGAATCTCAAACCTAAGAAGACTTCTGAACAAGTCCAATCCGTCCCAAAGAAAATGCTTCTGCTTAATCTAGAATTCAAAGGTGAGATTGAAGCAGAAATCCTTCGCAGACGCCTCTCAAAATCGCTGAGGAAAACATACT